TGGAGACTATTCATGTAAATGCAGTCGGTTTTGTCTTAAGTGAACTTGAACAGTTGGGAGAAATACAGATGTGTCAAAATATTTGATCTATGCATCAGCTCTTAAAGCAACAGCATAAACCTGCAGCCGACGACTGCGTCATAAGCGTTAATCAAACAAAAGAAAAGGAGAAAATCACTCACTGCTCTTGACTGAATCACTTATTAACTTTAATAAGAATTATCTATATTTAATGTATTGTATACAGTGAAGATTATTTTTATATTTATTACTTCATGTAATGTCTGTAGTAGGCTATTTCTGTAGAAGCCTTTACTACTGAAAAAACTAAAAAACTATTTTTATTTAATTTATTTAGTAATTTATTAGACGCTTTTATCCAAAGCGACTTACAAATGAGGACACCAGAAGCAATCAATTGTAGTATTAAAACAACTAAAAACAGATCCAAAACTAAAAGCTAAAACTTTATAAATACTACCTTACACATTTTAAAAATAAAGAGATTAAATAAAAATTACAAACAAAATTTCAAAACAGCATTTAAATGAAAAGCAAAAAAATAAAGCTAAAAACAATTCAAAATATTAAAGAATAATAAATTCAGACATAATTTAACTAAAATTAAAATAAATAACAAATACAAATAATACAAATCAAATAGTATTTGTTAGTAGTTTATCAGTAATCCTAAAAAATAACACTGCCAAACACACATGCTAAAAAACAACAACTTACTTACACAGTAAGAAATGGTTATAAAAACTGAAACAGAAGTTAAACAAGTAATAGGACTATTTAATTAGTATTTTTGAGTAATATATTTATTTATCATTTAGCTTGTAAGTAATACATGGAGTGTTTACTTGCCTGCAGTTAAGCTTGAGAATGTTTTATTACATTAGCTTATTATTTTTTGCTTTTGTATTAGTGGCAGAAAAAATTCAAAATGCCCTGTCTAAGGGGTCCGTGTACTTTGGCGTCCATTCATTTTTCGTTTTTTTAACCCAGAAATTAAAATGCAGTTTCTTCTTTAATGGTTCAACTTCAAACACTGATTAATAGAATAAGCAGACACAAACTAATTTTGATTATTCAAAATTCATATTTCATTAAAAATCTTAAAATTAAAAATGATAAAAGCTTGTTTTTTATTGAGATAAAAGGTGCATTTTCTGCTATTAAGGTCCCATTCACCAAGAAACCTACTCCTTTACCCCCACCATTGAATTTATACATTTATTTAACGATTAATAAAGTCAAGTCCCGCCCTTTAATACACAGCTGGACTCAAATGAAGGTGTAGAACCATCTCAAGGATGATCAGAAGAAATGGACAGCACCTGAGTTAAATATATGAGTGTCACAGCAAAGGGTCTGAATACTTAGGACCATGTGATATTTCAGTTTTTCTTTTTTAATAAATCTGCAAAAATGTCAACAATTCTGTGTTTTTCTGTCAATATGGGGTGCTGTGTGTACATTAATGAGGAAAAAAAATTAACTTAAATGATTTTAGCAAATGGCTGCAATATAACAAAGAGTGAAAAATTTAAGGGGGTCTGAATACTTTCCGTACCCACTGTATATAGATAAACAGGTAGGCAAATATGGGCAATTTATACCTAAAAGTGCTATTATATTATATTATATTATATTGTTTCTCTTAAATTGGTTATTGGCTTTAATGCATTTAAAATACCGTGCAATAATATATTGGCAATTATTTTTATGCTATGGCTGTCATTAAAATTCAGTTTTTTTTCTAAATAAATTAAGCATAAAAATTTTTAATTTCTTGTTTTACGTATTTTTCTTCTGTTTAGTTGAAATTTTTAATCGGTTATCTGCAGCTGAACTGTGCATTTGGTAAATGTGTACAGCTCCTCTCCTGACACTCATAGAAAAAAACTTTCCTTCAGACCAGTGCAGTTCTTGGTAAAAACTGCTTTTATACAGAGAAATGCCATTGAGAGTTGTGGTGGAGGCATTTTCCCATCAGCTAACAGTGTTTATCGGGTTTGATGTCAGGTGTCTTTGTTGAAGGAGCCTGGTATGCATTGGAGGAAGGATGTTTTTTTCCCCTTCCGTGTGTTTCCTCAGAATCTTTCTTTTATAGTTGATTTTCTCACAGATAGGCTTAAAAAGTAGTTTTTTTTTATAACTTGAAATGTATTGGAGCTAGGGCTGTGCAAAAAATTGAATGCGATTTTCATGCGCATCTCGTCAGTAAATCCGCTTCTGGTGATTAGTAGTAAATCTCCAGCACGTGCTTTCAGATGGAGCGGCATTTACTACACAGAGTAGTTTTACTACTAATCACCAGAAGCGGCTTGTAGTAAATGCCGCTCCATCTGAAAGCACGTGCTGGAGATTTACTACTAATCACCAGAACGGGCTTTACTGACGAGATTCGCATGAAAATCGCATTCGATTTTTTGCCCAGCCCTAATTGGAGCAATATTGTACAGATCTGTAGCATTGGCAGTCAACTTTCCATGTTAGTCATAGCTTAACCTGCATCACCAAGCGTAGTTGCAAATACAATGACACTTCTAAGCAGGTTTCCCAAATACTCCCCCATTTTCCATTGTTGCTAACAGTTCATTCTGAAACTCACACCATTGATTGAGTCAACTGAGTCAAGTTACTGTGCTGGACTGTTTAACTGTTGTTTACACTCCTTTGGACGAGTTTTGCGTTTACTTAGCACATGCGTACAGCTGAATACATAGCCTTTCACAGTACACTCCAGTTGATAGCGTGGGGGACACAGGTGCTCAACTTGTGCACCAGAAAGTTGGTGCGCTCGTCAACACAGGCATTTATTGTTGCTGTTGTCTCAAGTTATTTGCTGTTGTTCCGTCTTTTCATTTTCTTTTTCGACCATGGGCCGAGGCGGTGTTGCTTACACTATTGTTCATCAGAGTAGTCCAAGCTGCTGAATACTAATTAATCATTAATTAATGAGCCCATGGTTGTGACACCACCACAAAAACTGTTTTTGAACAAGCCGCTTACCATACATGCTCTTTGTGAAATGACCCCTCTATTGAACATCTTGGGAATGTGAGTTTTCCATCCTCGATTTTGCTGTTTGGAAGGATAGTTTGGCCTTGCTTCTGTACTTCACTCATGTCTACTGTTATTCATGTTTTGCAAACACAAAATGTTAAACCCAGTAGTCTCAGTTATCCCAAGAGAATTAATGGTTTTAGAGGGCTGTTTTTACATCTAAAAACACTAGTCTACTTCCTAAATCTTGACTTTGAAAGCTTGGGGCCCCTCAATAGGGAACTGAACGTGAGCAGAAGGCATGACATGCACGGTTGGCACTGGCCACCAAAGCACAGGGATTCCCGTAACTCTGTGTGTGTGCTGAAGGAGGGGGGTTACAGTAGTGACATCTGGTCGACCTAAGGCCCTGCACAGGAAAACCACTGCGTCTGGAGAGTGGAAGCTGTGGGGTAAAGGGAAGGAGTGTTGACTGGTGGTTGGAAGGGCGATGGTTTCTTGACTGATAACGGGGGAGATTAGTGCCATGATAGAATCAAAGTAAGGCTGTTAAGTGCTGCCCAACCTGGATAGGACCATCAGATTTAGGATTTCTGTTCAAAATATGTGACTTAACTGTCTTTCTTTTTCCCTTTAGGTACATTATTATGGGGAACCTCCTTAAAGTTTTGACATGCACAGATCTTGAACAAGAGCCCAACTTCTTCCTCGATTTTGAAAGTGAGATACTTCTCCTCTTTCCATTGATTTCTTTCATTTATTAGCTGTAAACAATCCTTCATTCTCCAAGCTTACCTCAAAATGCACTAATTTAGCATCTCACGTGTCCTTTTTGGTATGTTTGAGAACTGGGATTCTGGGAGACTTGGTGTAGGTCAATACCCGGTCAACTTGTAAAAAATGCCAGTTCCCCTTTTGGGTCTTGATACTATCTTCAACTCCTTTCCCTTGGAGACTAGTTCATGAACCACACACAATCTGCTACCATCTCATTTGTTTGAACCCAAAAACTCTCTCCAAAGCGAAGGAAGGTGAATGAACCAAAGAAAAGAAGACAGTGGAAAATAACAGTTTCCTGGCTTTTATTACCCTTGACCACAGAACATTTTCATCCTACCATGTTTGTCTCCATTTTTAGTCATATAGTCGTTCCTTTGAAGAAAGGCAGGGGGCGATATGGAGTCACCCAATCCATTGACTCATTCATGGCTCATCGGTCGCACACATATAATAAAAATTCCTATAGTGTCTGCTCAAGAGTTATGTAACACTAATAAAGGGCGGGAGTGCGAGAGACTCCAAGAGACAGAGCACTGGAATAGGACCTACTGTATCAATACGAAAACATAGATGGATTAAAAAGCTGAGAGATCATTGCACTCTTAATCAGGAGAGTGTAAAGGAGGTGGCCCTTAATTTCTTAAATTGCATTTGAAGCCAGCTGTAGTTAACAGCTGCCAGTGTCTCATTGAGGTTTCTTTTTTAGATGTGGGCCTAAAGTTTCCACCATTTAAAACTCCGCTCTTTGCCTTTTAAACATATGAAACAGGCTCAGCTGTGGAGGATTGACTAAAATACGCTTTAAGATCCCCAGTGAGTAATTCACCCCAAAAATTTAATTTAGTCATCATTTGCTCACTCTCTTGTTGTTTGCTCACTTGCTCTCAACCAGTTTGATTTGGAACACAAATGAAGATGTTCAGCAGAAGTCTGCATGGCCTCTGAATTGCACAACAATCATCTGATAGTGATGTCAAGTTTGGACTGTGTATATCCAAAGTTCAAGTTCCAAGTCCAAATTATATAAGTGTACTTATAATTTAAGTGTATATAAGATGCTGCTAGTAGAGTAAAAGGTATTAATAAAAGGTCTGCTAATGAAGTATATTTACATTGGTCACATCAACAATATAATTTGTAGTTCAAATTAACCTGGGTGTTATTTTTTTAATAAAAAAAATGCAATGGTTTTTAGAAATTGAAGTAAACTTTAAAAAAAACTGCACAAAGTAATATTTAACACAAACATTTAATTGCCCCAGCAATTATTCATAAATACGAATTTTACTGCATTGTTATTAAGGTTACATTAATAACAAAATAAAATGGAAGTGTGATGATTAGTTTAGGGTTAGTTTGATGTTTCTCATCAATGCTACATTTATTTGATCAAAAATACATCAAGTAATATTGTATAAATAATAAGTAATATTGTGAAATTATATAACAATTTAAAATGCTTGTTTTCGGTTTTATTATAATTTAATATGTAATTTATTTCGAAGATGTCATAGCTGAATTTTCAGCAGCCATTACTCCAGTCTTCAGTATCACATGATCCTTCAGAAATAATTCTATTATGCTGATTTGGGGCTCATTTACATTTATTATTATTATTATTATGAATGTTGAAAACGTTGAGCTGCTTAATATTTTTGTGAAAACCAAGATACATTTTTTTTCTGGATTCTTTGATGAATGGAATGTTCAAAAGAGTACTTATACAGTAATGCCCTTCCTTCAGAGCACCCACTTTTCTGTAGTAATAGTAGAATTTGCCCATAGTATCAGCACACACACAATATAATGTACAACATATTACCAAATACTCTGTTTTCTTTGTTCTTTCCTTCATTTTAATCTTGCCTCATTCTGTAAGGTATAAAGCTCTAATACCTGTTCGTGATTTGCATATGTACAGTATGTTCGCTTTTAATGTGTCAGACACTGACTAAATGTGACCTTGAAAGACCTTTTGATTAAAGACACTCTCTCTCTGCCTTCAGATGCCCAGCCAACAGAAGCAGAGCGGGAAACGTGGGACGAAGTGGATGTGGTCCTGAAGGATGCACTGGGAATACTTGACGAACTACAGGCATATAAAGGCGCGGGCCAAGAGATACGAGAGGTACAGGCACACTCTCAAGATAACAGATGTCTGCTGATGTTTGACTTATGTGTATGCACTTATAAAGTTGTACATGCAAAGTTGACTCTTTACAGTGTGTACATTAATTCACACAAAAATGAGTTGAAGGAATAATATCAGTGGCTTTAAAACATCTCGTAGTATGTTCATATGATTTGAAATTCTCTGCTCTGCTCAATCACGCCTCGGTATGAGTGAGTGTCAGTATGATTGATAATCTTGTTGCCACGGATACTGTTGCTATACGGATACAGTTGCCATGGACTGGCGTCTTCTGAAGAATGAAAGTGAATTTTTCTTTTATTTCTTTTTTCTAATTCACTCAAAAGAACGCGGTGCATTCCTTTTTCATGTCAGCACACTCCGTAATTATTTTAATGAGCCTCGTGTATTTGGAAATTCAAAGGCACACTGAGGTAGAAAGAAAAAACACTGACTAGATGTTCTGCCCAGTGTCATAATGGAACAACATAATGAATAAACCTTCAAACCTCTTGTGTGGTTGGATTTGACGTCATTTACATCCTCAAATTGCCACCCTCATGGGCACATCATTTAAAAACCTCATCTCACATACATAATTCTAACACAACCTCATACAGTCATAAAATAATATGTTCCATTTAGACTTGTGGGAACGTTGTTTATAACTCGCCAGATGTTGTATTATTAAGATGCTGTGTTTGTTTTTTCAGGCAATCCAGAACCCTAATGACGAGGCATTACAAGACCAGGCGTGGGCTGCTGTGGTGCCACTAGTAGGCAAACTAAAGAAGTTCTACGAATTTTCACAGAGATTAGGTACATTAGCCTGTTTTTCATAGCAGAAGTAGTTATGCAGAAACCTTTTAAATGAACATTTTGGCATCATTTACTCACATTGATGTCATTCCCAACCTGAATGATTTTTCTATGGAACACAAAAGGATATATTTAGCAGAATGTCCATGCTGCTCTTTTCCATATTGTGAAAGTGAATGGGGGCAGAATCCTAAAAATAAAAAGACAGCACTAGGGATGCTCCGATCAGGATTTTTGCAGCCGATACTGAGTACCGATTTCTTGTCATGGTGATCGGCCGATACCGATGCCGATTCTGATGCTTCAAGCTTTAAATAGACTTATATAATATAATATAATATAATATAATTATAAATAATTAATTTATATAGATGGTTTCATCGGGCGCACGCGCCTGGCTTGAAGTTAATTTCCGGTCTGTGATGAGTAGACTGAAGTTGGTCTCAGGTGGTTGTGCTGTGGGATGTGTTTCCCATACATTTATTTATTTGTGGCGCTCGCCACAATATCAAAACTGACCGATTTTCCAAAAGGTTTCGTTGAATAAACATAAGCATGTACTGCATGTTTAAAAATCTAAACGAGGCGCGGGTGTTTTTATATCACTGTATTTCTGAAGGAAGACTATCTTTAGAAAATTTTCAATGTCATTTTCATTTCATCTTGCATGTTATATGCCTGATAAAGCAGCGTTTGTGAGCTCAGCGCTGCTTTGCGTACAGCAGTTACTGGGGAAACCTCTGTTTCTCCCGCTTTAAAGCACCTCCTGGTGGCAGAGATTGAATTTGCATTTTCAGTAATTCCGTCTGATTTACGCAACAAACATACTTTGCTTCTCCTATATCCATGGGCGCTGCAGATAATCCGCGGGTCGGGTAATAAAAAATGCATTCTGATTATTTGCGAGTGGGTCGCGGGTGAGTAAAATAAATCATATATACAAATATTAACTACATTTTTTTCATGAGGCAGATGATTTTGTGTGTGTGTGAGTCCGTTACTGGGGAAACCGCTGTTTCTCCCGCTGGCAGAGAATGAATTTGCATTTTCAGTAAGTCCGTCTGATTTACGCAGCAGTGACAGAAACGGTGACATTCCAGATACAATTTGAAAGGAGTAAAGCCTGTGTTAATGCTATTGAGTAGGCTAATATGGCCAAAGAAGATATTTTGTTTTATAAATAAATGTTAATTTAAAAGCAGCCCACGATCAGCGTTACCCCTTACGGCTCAGACGAGGTTTTGTTCCGTCCTCCACGCTGTGACAACTCACAAAAGACTATTTTTAGCCAAACAGCGTGGAGAGCCGCTTCAGAAACATGCCGCAGCTGGCATAAACACAAGCACTGACTAGCGGCCGTGATCAGCTCCGGTTCCCATGGAGCCGTAACACGCCGCAGACGTGTGCAGTGAGGCGCAGATCAGCTCTAACGTCACTGAATCTGCTGTTAAAAATTAACCATCCATTCATCATATCATCATGCAAAACATACACGACAAATAGCGAATTTTACATTGTTTCCACTCAGCGTGCTTTGCTTATCAGCTCGTGCACATCAGCTATACAGGCGTTAGAACTGAATATTTAACATTATATTCATTGCATACATATACTTCGTAGACATCCTTAATCTCTAATAACTCCATTCTGCTGTCTGATGTTCTGTTGTCGGTGTTTCTTTGTCTGAATATGGCACTTATCATATGCTGTGTGGTATCGGCGTTTGGTATCGGGGCATTTTAACAAGTACGAGTACAAGAGCTCAGTATCGGGCCCGATACCAATACCAGTATCGGTATCGGAGCATCCCTAGTTGACGTCATCAAATTGCGATCGGTTCGTGAGATCGGCCAAGTGTAGGGAGTACCGATCGAGTCATAAAATGAGATTATCGGCCGATACCAATCTCCGGCCGATCGATCGGAGCATCCCTAGACAGCACCATAAGTAATTTGGAAGTAGTCTGTATGTTATGGTGGCAACTTCAGAAAACACATGCAAATAGAAAAAGCACCAGCAAATTAAGAAAACATCTTCATCAGTTTAAGAGTGCATGTGCTGCAAATACTCACAACACAACTAAATACAAAAACACGGTGCAAATGCTCACAACGCAAACAAATAAAGAAACGCGCTGCAAATACTTACAAAACAAACTAATAAAGAAACGAGCTGCAAATACTTACAACACAACCAAATAGAGAAACGCGCGTCAAGCTCTTATTTTAAAATCCCATCAAGCTCTTATTTTAGGCGGGAAACTGCAGGGAGCCCTTAAAGGGTTCAGTTTTTTTTCGAAAGCTTGATTGACAGAAATACACAATCTTAGCCCGATGGTGTATTTCTAAGGGAGGGGCTGCATAGAACCAGGAACTCAAGAGACTGTTTTGACGAGAATGGAAACAGCGGTGTAGAATAAAGGTAAAATATGTGAAAATAATGTGATTTTTAAAAAAATGAAGCATGAACATGTTACACTGCACCCTGCACTGCATGTTACACACATGCAGTGTAACATGTTCATGCTTCATTTTTAAAAAATCACATTATTTTCACATATTTTACCTTTATTCTACACCGCTGTTTTCATTCTCGTCAAAACAGTCTCTTGAGTTCCTGGTTCTATGCAGCCCCTCCCTCAGAAATACACAATCGGGCTAAGATTGGTTAGCTGGCCCAGTGTGTTGTGATTTGCTAACCAACTACTGTAGTGCATGTTGTCCGGAAACGTCACACCCCCTTGCCAATACAGGTAGTTGCATGTGCATGGGCAGGGTTTATGTAAACACTGGGGTTAGTGATGTCACAAACCCGGGAAGAAGTCCTTACCAGCTTTTTTGTAGTCCTTAAACAGCGATTTCTTTAAAAGAAAATATCTCATTTTGCATTGAACTTTGAGCATCGTAACGTTGCAGATGTTGTTCATGCTTAAGACTTTTAGTTAACGAAAAAACGTTAAATCAACCACCCCTTTAAAGCTTGTCTTTTGTTGATTTATAAGTGCTTGTCATAAGTTTGGGAATTTGGGGTTTGGAATTTTTAGGTGAACTGTCCCTTTAAATGTGCTTAACAGCCATTGGCAGTATCTCTTTCAGTCAGTTTTTTTTTTCTGCGCTGTAAACATCTTACAAATTAAATGCACACTAACACATTGTGTTAACACCTGAGCAGCCCCAGGGAAGTACCACAGCTGGTCCTTTCATATTCTTGCACAAAACACACTAGCTGACGGATAGACTTAAAGGGTTAGTTCGCCCAAAAATGAAAATTAGCCCACAAATTACTCACCCTCAAGTCATCCTAGGCGTATATGACTTTCTTCTTTCAGACGAATCCAGTCGGAGTTATATTAAAAATTGTCTTTGATCTTTCAAGCTGTTTAATGCCACTCAGCGGGTGTTGCATGCATCAGTCCAAAAGAAGTTAAATAAAAAGCGCCCATCGATAAAAAAAAGTGTTTCACACGGCTCCGGGTGGTGAACAAAGGCCTTCTGTAGCGAATCGATGCGTTTTTGTAAGAAAAATATCCATATTTAAAATGTAATAATCACTTTAATGTAGCTTGCGCCAACAGTTGTACACGGAAGCAGTTCCGGTCTGATGAGGTATGAGGTCAGTGCTGCGCATGCGCCAGTTAGTCTCGTGAAAATGAAAGATCAAAGACAATTTTTAATATAACTCCGACTGGATTCGTCTGAAAGAAGAAAGTCATATACACCTAGGATGACTTGAGGGTGAGTAATTTGTGGGCTAATTTTCATTTTTGGGTGAACTAACCCTTTAAATGCCAAAAATGTTACAAACCTCTCACTGATATGCATAGTGAAAAATGACCATGATATCTAATACTTCAGATCATATGGCTTCCTTAGCATTAGCTATTTTGCTCATCAAACACAGGGATGTTAGCTGCTCAATAAGACCAAGGTTGATGGTGGTCTTACCCTGAAGCCATTGAAACCCTGCACTTTAAATCTATGTAATGGCTTCTGAACTTGTAGTCTTGTAGTGCAGGCCAGGCGTCTGCCGTATGTTATGTAATTCACCGAACTGGGTCATCTTGCTTTCCCGCGCTTTCCGCTCCAGAACACTAAACCGGCTTTTGGCGCAAGCTCTCATGCCTGACATGCTTCGCTTAACTACACTGATCATTTGCCATGTAGTGCTCTCGCCTGACGATGAACCTATCTGTGCATATTAAGTCAAAGTTTGAGCCTTTGGGTGTCAGTGGTGTTATAATTATATTAACAGCGTGAAAGATGTATGCTGCTGCGTCAGTCAAGCAGTCAAGCATTATAATATGATAATCAAGTATTGTGATTTACTCGCAATGTAGAGGGTTGGTCATGCAGAATATGTGCTTTATAAGTACTAATGAACAGCCAATATGTTATTAATACAGTGGCAATGCGAAAGTTTGGGAACCCCTTGCAGAATCTGTGAAAATGTGAATAATTTTAACAAAATAAGAGGGATCATACAAAATACATGTTATTTTTTTATTTAGTACTCTCCTGAGTAGGGCTGTGCAATATATCAAAATTATCTAAATATCGCAAATGTACATATCGCAATATGCATATCGCTACAACTTGCAATATTTGGGGCCATGACCAAAAGACAAAGAGAAAATCACTCACTGCTCTTACCTAAATAACTTTTGTAGCTTAAATAAGAATCAGTGCATATTGAATTCAAAGAGTAAATACTAAGCAGTGTTTTATTTTTCCTTTTTATTATTCAGTTCCTAAACTCATGTTAAAATGATTACACTAATGTTAAAATGACATTTTTATGTAATGCTCGGGTAAAACACTACCGTTCACTTTCAGAAGTTGTTGTAGGGGTGCTTTCTCATTAGAATCAGAATCAGAATTAGCTTTATTCATCACTTAAGTGTGCACAAACACAAAGAATTTGTTGTGGTTTTACAGGAACTCTTGGTACATACATACATACAAATAACCATATATATATATATATATGACACAAGATAGTTATAGAAGTTCACAGAACTGACTCAGCAACAGCTGAGTAAAACTGTTTCATCTGAGCATGTGGCACTTTAAGCATTATCGTATCGCATATCGAATATCGCATTATTTAATGAGTTATCGCACATCGCATTTTTCTTCAATATCGCACAGCCCTAGTCCTGAGTAAGATATTTTACATAAAAGATGTTTACTTGTAGTCCACAAGACAAAAAAAAAACCCTGAAATTATTAAAATAACCCCCTTCAAAAGTTTGTTTTTGTTTTGTGATGGTTGTTCATGAGTCCCTTGTTTGTTCTGAACAGCTAAACTGAGCACTGTTCTTCAGAAAAATCCTCCATGTCCTGCAGATTCTTCAGTTTTCCAGCATCTTTTGCATATTTGAACCCTTTCCAGCAGTGACTGTATGATTTTGACATCCATCTTTTCACACTGAGGACAATTGAGGGACTCAAACACAACTATTACAAAAGGTACAAACATTCACTAATGCTCCAGAAGGAAACACGATGCATTAAGAGCCAGGGGGTGAAAACTTTTTGAATTTGAAGATCAAGGTAAATTGTACTTAATTTGTCTCCCGGAAAACATGCAAGTATCTTCTGTTGCTTCCGAAGGGCAGTACTAAATGGAAAAAAACAAATAATATATATTTCAACAAAATAAGAAAAATTTGGACATCTTCGTCCTGTTCAAAAGTTTTCTTAATGAAAAGGCTCTTAATGTATCGTGTTTCCTTCTGGAGCATCAGTGAATGTTTGAACCTTTTTTAATAGTTGTGTTTGAGTTGTGTTATTCAGTTTTTGTTATGAGGTTTTGTTTTATTCATTCTTTTATTGTTTGTTTTAGTTTTGTTTTACTGGTTCATCTCAAACTACTGTTATTCCTCAGTGTATATTTAGCATTTTAACATTTACCTACATGTCTCATTTCTTCTCTCTTGCTTTCTGGTATTGTGATGAGATGTGACGTACACTTCCTCGCCCTGCCCTGCTTTCCTCCAAACCACTGTCCTCGCCTCACACTCCATTCTCAGCATGTGCTCTTAAAATCCGCTCGTCTCAAGCTATGTTTTGACTGGGAGGAGAATAGTATGCTTCCATGGCAATTTTTAATCCGCTCCTCTGCCCTGCCAAGCTGACTAAAGCAGATGGAGGTCATTACAGTATGGCAAATCTGCTCAATTTACTCTACATACTGCTGCAGCTTGAGTCACCAGCCTGAAAATTCCCTCTCTCTCTCTCACTCCGATGACTATACTGGCTTGACTATGTAAAACCTAAAAACTCTTGGTTTCTCAAGTCCATATGGAAATAAATAAGTTGACAGACAAAGCTACCCTCTGTTTAACTTCAGACGAGATTGATTACTGCAATTTTCTAAATGAGCCAATAAAAATAAAGCTGAAAAACCCCAAAATTGTCTGAACTCTCAGAGCAGACTTAATTCAGTTCATCAACAGTTGTTGATACATTGATCTAAAGCCACATCACCAAACCATTGTTTTTTTTTTCTTTCCATTGCTCTCTTTCAACATGCAGTAGGAGTTTCTTGTACAATTTTGCAATACTAGCAACAGCAAGACATGAATCACTTCAAGGGCAATTCTGTTTGGGTTTGTTTATATGAATATTTTAAGACTTGTAATTGAGATCAGGATTAAAAATTGGGTTGATGTGGACAGACTGAGATCATCCCGTACCTCAGCCATAAACTCATTTATGGCTGCTGGGCTGACTCTTATGTAATATAATTATTCTAACATGCTGCTGTGTACTGTATTGCCTCAATAGAGCAATGGAGAAACTGAGAACGGGACTTGTGGGTTAAGAGCAGCTTCTCAAGTCATGACGCTGTCTACTGAGGCTTAAGACATCACTGTGTGTTAGTAAAGAACATAGAGAAATGTGCCTCTTGTGTAGCCTGGAGTATGTTTGTGTGTCTGAGAAATTAGTTTGAGATTATGCATTAAATAACATTTATTAGTTAATTGGGTTATGTATGGTACAAGATGTTTTATTTTGTTTGATGGAAGGATTGAGTCTTAATGCTGGTCTACGAGCAGTATGAATCAATATGTCAGAATCTAAACAGTATAATGTGTAAAACAAACAGTATGCAGTCATGTATTTTTTATGGGCTGTTTTACAGTATACAACACTTAGTTAAAAAGGTTGAGTTATAGTTACCTGGAACGCACACACATACATACATACATACATACATATATATATATATATATATATATATATATATATATATATATAGTTGATATTATTGTTATTAATAATGCTAACATAACTCATCAGTGGTGGAAAAAAAATATGATTGTTTAACAATCTGTTGCACTCACTGAGAACCTAATTGACCCTAACTGGCCATTGTGTGACTCTACAGAAGCAGCGCTGCATAGTCTTTTGAGAGCACTCACTAGTGAGACATACGATGACCCCACACAGCATCTGGAGAGAGAGCAAGCCCTTGCCAAACAGTTCGCTGAGATCCTGCACTTCACACTGCGCTTTGATGAGCTCAAGGTGAGGACCATATACCTCAATAAAAATTCCCTTGTTACGTGATGGTAATGTTTTTTTGTTATCATTATTTATTTTTTGGTTGCAGTCTTTGCATAAATGAAAGACCATTATACATGATACAGGTTTATCCTGTTCATTTTCCTGTTCAAGTCAGTCGTTGAACCAATTTGCATGTACAATTCATGTTTATTTAAATGTTTATTTAGCATTGGATGTGTACTGATACTAAGGAGCTGACACAATACAGGTCAAAAGTAATTTGTTTAAATCTTACGAAACATGTTTGAGTCCTATAATAAGAAATAAAAATTATATTTATATTTAAAGAAAATGAAGCCATGAAGTCTTGTTGAATCATTAACATTTTTAGTATTTATTAAAAAGATTAAGAACTATTCTTACCATAATAATAATAATAATAATAATAATAATAATAATAATAATAATTTTATATATATATATATGCACACATTATGGTAGCATTTGGTATTATAATATTGGTAGTATTGCATTGACTTTAATTTATGCTGGCTTAAAACAAAATAATATATTGCAGTATTGAGAATTTTATGAGAATTTCTAATGAGAATATTAGTAATTATATAAAAAAAAAATTTTTTTTTTAACATTTTAACATCCGGATGTAACACTGTAATCTGAATTTGGTGAAAAATATTCCTAATTGTTATGAAAATAATATACATAATTAGGGATGCACCGATACCACTTTTTCCAGTACTCGCCCGATACCGATACTTTTATTTTTGGTACTTGCCGATACCGAGTACCGATACCAATAATTTTATTGCATTTGTACATTTTTTAAATATTGGGTACAGAAACCAAAAGAGTATGCATAATGTTAGTTGGTTAACTTAATTTATCAAATAGATACAGTCAAGCCAAAATGTATTCAGACACCTTCAACATTTCTCCCATTATCACAGTTTATTCGCTATAGTTTAGAAAATGGTAATAAAATATGACAATAATGTCAGATAACTTTGATAGAAAGGTATGTAATAGATTACAATCAACCAAAAATTAGACAGCTGTTAGTATGACAGTATTTACACAACTATCAATACTTAGTCGGACAACCCTTAGCCTTAATGACAGCCTGTAGTCTCCTGGGCATGCTGTCACCCAGCTTCATGCAAACCTCAACTTCAATGTTTTTTCCCAGACGGTCTGAATAATTTTTGGTCCCAAATTTGTATCAATTTTACTGGTAGTCCAC